TAATAGCGTCAAGTCTCGCGTAGGTAATGTGGTTAGATGAGCGATGCTCGAATAACCAGAAATAAACGTGCTTACGTTGGTAGCGGCAGGCTAGTTGGTTGTACATGTTCGCAAAAGCAGAAGCGTCAACCTCAACAAACAATGATGCACAAAACACGGGTGTCTTCCACTAGCTCGTTACAAAGTGGAAGTCAGCAATTTCAAATTGAGAGCTCTTTATGGCTAGACGAAACGAAGAACCGTTGGCAACGAGTTTCAATAACGGTCGTTTGGTTTTTCCTTAGAGTCCTGGCGCAACCCACCACGGGGAATCGGCCATAAGCTGGACGATACCTCATCTTGGAGATGAAATTGTTTTACCAGATGGGATGTTTAGGTAGGGGTGTTTTACCAAAACCAGATTGGTAAAAATTGATTATAAATTAAATAATAAAATGCCAACAGCTATTATGATTGGAAATAAAGTAAGTTTATGCGTAAGCTTAACATTCTATTTGTTTTGTTTCCTTCGGAAAATTGCACACGTCCTCGGAAACGTTCGTGTAGCTAAATTCTTTTTCAGTTGCTCGAAAGGAAAAGACCGCCAGGACGGGATAAACTTAAAGCCAACCTCCGGAGAGGTTCTTCTAGTATAGTCTCTTTCTTTGATTTGTAAATAACCTGCATATTAAGAGTAACTGATGCAGTGGAGGCATAAGGGGGCTGTGCCAGACCTAACCTGTGTAGATAAAAACTCAGGGGAGGGGGACTTGGCATTGTAAGTCTCGTAATTGATATATCCGCCTATCGAGAGGAGCACCATCAGTTTATGCAAAGACTACTTAACATGAGAAAACTCAAATGTTGCGAAGCAAGACTTTTCAAAGTCATATGATGGGACAATTCTTTCCAATCGGACCATTGGCGATAACTGCTAGCGTTGGCAATATAGAAATTATTAGACAATTGTGTGAGGCCACTGCAAATGCATCTGCATATTCAATGAGGCTTATACTTTTATGCCCTGGTATCCATACCAAGCAAATGAGTCGTAAATGTCTTGGCGCAAGTGCATAGAACACTTCTAAAGCATTAGACATATTAGGTGCTGTTAATGAAGCACACAAAGACAGGCTGTCTTCAAGAGTGATAGCGTCTGTTATTGATAGAGGCAATTTCCGTAATGCTATGATAATCTCGTTCATTCCGCTTGATAAATAGATGTAAAATCAGGTGAACTATTTGAAAAAGAGCAATTTAACACTGAAGATGCTATTCCTACTCCTACATTTTAATCACAAACTCAGGGTTCAGTTGCTATTACAGTCTCTAATTTTAATCTAGCCTGGTGGTCTTTCAAAATGGCATTAAGGTACCTACTGGGAATATTTTTACGACTCTTGAAAAATAAATTGTCAAATTCTACTTCAATTGTTTGAATAGGTCTTTTCAGTATGAGTACTTCACGAAGGCTTACTTGAAATGTTTCTAGAGGTCCTGTTACGGTCCCCTTTAGCTGTGCTGTCAGCTACGTCGTTTTCTACGTCACACCCATGAGCGCGCGCCACTGGCAGTGCCGTCATTCAACCCTTGGAAGACATGCTGCTAAGTCCGCGCGCAGCAGGCTGAACTTTTGACTTTTCCGAACAGCAAGCAACATTCCAAGAACAGCGCCGACACCTGATCCGTGAAAGATTAATGTCCGCGGAGCCGATGCAGCAGCCTGGCCAAAATAAAGGGCTGGGGTGGCGAACAGTAAGCAATTACTGGGCGCCAAGGATCCGGCAGCCTTCCGAGACGAATGCAAGTGACAATAGCCAATCGAGGAATTGGCGCGGCGGGCAGAGTAGCTAAACGAAAGAATGACGCAAACGCATTCGCCGGGGTGTACTTCCGCTTTCCGGGATAGTTTCTCCAGCGGCATTTCAGCTACGGCTGCGACGTCTGCAAGCACCTGTGGCCGCACATTTCAGCTTCGCTTGTCAACATCTGTAAGAATTTCCGGGCGGTGATTCTTTTTTTTTGTTACATACTAGTGAATATTTAGCACTGTCTGCGAAATCGATAATATGGTTGAAGCTTCCTAAACAGTGGGTCGTGCGTCCCCGATGTATGTAGTAGTGGTAGTAGTAGGTAGCCACCTCTCATTTAGTTAGAATTTTCGCTTGATGGGGGTACTTTCATATGAACAATATATGATAAAAAGATGCGAGATGGCAGTGTTCACTAGATCGACGGACGGATGGACGCACGGACGGGCAGACAAGCAGACAGGCGGATGGATGAACGAACGCACGCATGGACGGACGAACAGACAGACAGACAGACAGACAGACAGACAGACAGACAGACAGACAGACAGACAGACAGACAGACAGACAGACAGGGACGCATGGATGGATGGATGGATGCATGGATGGATGGATGGATGGATGGATGGATGGATGGATGGATGGATGGATGGATGGATGAATGGATGAATGGATGGATGGATGGATGGATGGATGGATGGATGGATGGATGGATGGATGGATGGATGGATGGATGGAAGTTTCGCCCAGTCATCAACATTCACTCCGTAGATATGTTGTGATTTTCTGCATATTTTATTTGCACTCTGTGAGATCCAACTCTCCCAAGCCACAATTAGCCCACCACAGGGCGTATCCACTTCTAACGGCTCAGTGCACTTGATTAGCAGCATATGTGCACACATCATCTTCAGCAACTCTTCTCTAGCAGTTGCTGTCCGTACCTGACAAAGGTTACCTTATGATCTCTACAGCGGCACAAAGCGTACTGCACCGCCTTTACACATTACCTGCTGTGAAATTCCAAGCTCGAAACACTTCACTTTCTTGGTAGTTCCGTTGATAACGAACTTCAGGCAATGAGCAGAAAGTTCTTCAGCAGATCGAGAAAAAGGTCGAGGAAATGTTACGCCTTCGGATTCTCAGTAGAGCCTAAAATTCTAATGAATTCTTCTTCTTTATTTTTCCTGACGCAAATGCCACAAAGGCGAAGAGGATGGAGAGCAGGTGTAACTAGCAAGTTGTTTTTCTAATGTTTCAAGCTTTCATTGTCACAGCCTTGAAACACGGATATCAGACTTTCGGCTTAAAATTCAGGTATCAGTCTGATGCACATACCAAGCTTTGTGATAAAAAAAAATGATCATTTGACTCGGCAGCAATAAGGTACATTAGCAGCTGCTATATATTCATGCGTAAAATTATTTCCCGCACCAGCTCCTGGAACACATTCACACTTCGCTGATATCCTGAAACCCTTCTGGTTGGCAAAATAAACTATGTGCGCTTGTGCGTGCAAATCATGTCACAAGGTATTAGTTGCTCACTCACAGGGAAACAGTATTCGCTTTCATGCATTATAATTGGTTCTCAAGTGCTCCTTTCCAAGCATAAGCATATTATTTCCGCACTTTATTTCCACGCACTTTATTTCCGGCATTTGTTTAAAAATGGGACGGGGACGTAACATGACACAACAGCCGTGAGTAAAGAAGCAATGATATTTTTATCTCAGCTACATGCTTTCTTTCGCCGACTGGTTGCGGCTGCATGCATGCGTGCTAGCGATTCATTTTACAGCGAAAGCTGTTATGAGGTCACTTTTCGGGTCACGCGCTGCTGCATGCTGTCCGCCGCCGCCGGTGTCACGCGAAATTAAAAGAAACAATTACACAGTGGGGCTTGAACCCGCGTCCGCTTAGTACCAGCCCAATAGTAACGCCGGTGCTTGTAACATATCAAACTTGCATTAGGCAGGCATGACCTAGCACCAATGACACAGTGGGGCGCGAACCCGGGTCCACTGGGTGCCAGCCCAGTATTCTACCACTGAGCTACACCGGTGCTAGTGAGTTGTTCTCAAACTTTAATTAGGCAGGCTTGGTGTTGGGAAAGCAATCGCGCTAATACGACTGATAAAGCGTTTTACAACAGCGAAAGAACAACCAGTCGTCACACAATGTGAATAGCGTAACGAGTGGGCCTTCTAATGCTCCAACTCACTCAAAATCTTGTTCTTGTTTCCCTATTAAGTGTGGCGCACACCCACTTCAGCCTCAATTCCGTATCGTCGTCAACCACTGCCTGAATAATTGGCACAAAATTTCTTGCTAGTGTTTAGCGGATACCACGCTTCTCAAAAGAATGACGAAACATCGCATAGCAAATACCAGCCTACTACCCAAAAGCTTATTAGAATGCCCTAGTGGTTGCTGAGCAAGTATGCTGGCAGTAATTACCCAATGAGTGCTTTGAAAAAGCTCTGAAAGGCCACTCTTCTAGATTTCGCTGTTATTGTGTGGCGCCTACCGCACAGGTCTGGCGTTTTTTTTCTTTCTTTTTGTAAACTTTGAAAAGAACTGGCAGTTGCTGAAGAGAGTCACTTGCCCGAAAAAGACCACTTTCTCGTTACATCTAAGTTTTACATGCAGAGTACCAATTTATCATCTCATTATGGCGCATAATCTGTACTTGTGAGTACGTTTCGTGCGTCCTTTGTGCGTGAGACACGTGTAGCACGTTTCCATCTGCTTGCCAATCTGCGCGTGACTTTCCAATTTGTTGCCATCGCGTTGATTGCTTCGGCTTTGCGGCAAAGCTGTAATTTTTTTTTCTCACTTTTTTTCTCTTTTTCTCACGCCACGCACAGGTAAAGGGAGGGAGCGGTGTACGCTAAAATGCACCTATGCTCATGAGACCCGTGCTAACGAAACATATATCGGAATTGATTGCACAGTCGTTATCTAAAAGACAGACATGGTGTTCTTCGTGTAGACGCACTTTGTTGTAACAATGAGCCTTGCTGTCGTACGCACTGAGGTTCTAGAGTATGAGCTAGATGGCACGTTGATCGTGACCTCCATGTCAACTTCTCGCATGGAAAATGCCACTGACTCCAAATTTAAGTTTTCTTTGCAGTGTTCCTAATTATTGAGCTAATAGCAAACGCAGGCCCAATTCCAGTGATGAATCCTTTGTTTATTTTTCTAGGACAGCACGGAAGTTGACCATGCACCCAGGTTCACCACAGGCAATGGCTCTACAGCAGCCACAAACGTTGGTGGTTGCAGTGTTCTTGGTGGCGACGGCACCAATAAACAGAACGATGAGACGCTTGCCAAGTATGCAGCAGGCATTGGCAAGAGAAGGATGCCCCAACCCGACGGTCGTCTCAGTTGGGCTATGGCCGTGGTCTGCTTCCTCATCAATATGCTCTCCTCGGGATTTGGCCGCTGTTTGGGCCTCTTTTTCAACGCCATCATGTCCACGTTCGCAGTACCCCGAGGAGAGGCGTCGCTTCCCCTGTCTGTCTATGGGGGTTTCTTCAATCTGAGCGGTAAGCAAGGCTTCACTTTTCTTTTCAATGTAAGAGTACACAGTGGAGATTCGTGGTGATTCCAGCTCCTGCTACAGTGAGGGAGTTTACGGATTTGTGTCGGTGCACGCGAAGAATTTCCTGCTCGCGCCTCTTTATATATATTATTTATAATGATATTACAATTGTTGGGTTTTATCGTCCCAAAGCTCCATATGAATAAGAGGGACGCCGAAGTGGAGGGGGCTCCGGAAGTTTTGACTGCCTGGGGTTCATTAACGTGCAATTAAATCTCAGCACACGGGCCTCACGCCTTTTCGCCTCCATCAGAATTGGAGCAGCCACGGCCGAGATGCGATCATGCGTCCTTTGGGTGAGTGGCCAAGTGCCTTAGCCACTACACCACGGTGTCGGGTTTGCACCTCTGTGAGAAAACGCATAGCCGTTTTCGTTGCCGCAACACCTGGCTCAAGACGATCAAACTATTTCTTTTATGATCCCACGTTTACTTTACTGTGCGGCTGCAAATTGACGAGTGCGATATATATATATATATATATATATATATATATATATATATATATATATATATATATTCAGAGCACAAACGCATTACACAGGAAGTGGGCAAGAGTATACACAGCAATAAAACAAGAGTGAGTGAAAAAAAAGTAACAGCTTTTCCGCAAAGGCGAAGCAATGAACGCGATAGCAACACATTGGAAGGTCATGCGCAGATTAGCAAGCAGATCTAAACGTGTCCTGCGTTTCTCATGCACAAAGGACGCACGAAACGCACTCACAGGTACAGATTAACGCGAATAAGCGTCTCAGTGTTACTTCGCTGTGTCTGAAAAGTGCGCCTTTTTCGCAAACGGAGACTGTGCAACGACTGCAGTTACCTTTGTGGGCCTGGTAACTACAACAGAAACGTTCCGACGAAACTCAAAGGCTAGACAAGATTTACGATTTTCCCCACTGCACGATAAGGGCGCGCGATCGAGCGTACACCCCCTTACTTTGTACGCGGGCCAATGTACGCAAGAGAAATGAGAGCCGCCGCGCGCTCACGGCGCCATCTTCCTGATAATGATGAAAACACGAAAGGTCCCCACCCCCAGCTGAGATGCCCGCGAACAATGGTAAGTGGTTGATATAAATAGCTTGCCGTTTGAACAGTGAACGAAGTACCTTCGGTGGCTCAGTGGTTGACGCGGCGCATTTACGACGTGGAGGTCCCTCGTTCGATTGCGCACGCCGGAGTCCTTCTTCTGGATTTTTTTCCTTTGTGGCGTTTTCACATAATAGATACGTATACATCCACGGTGCATAAAATTTACGCCCACGCTGACACCAATGGTGAAATCTAGACAAGAGTGTCCATATAATTGCTATCGCAATTGAATAGGGCTGGCTACAGGTATACATTCCATTCAACAGTAGCCCTAAAATGACTGATATCTGTCTCTGGGGCAATAGAGAATAGTAGGTGACTTGAAAGTTAAGCGCACTTAAAATTAATTTCTAATGGCTGCTGCTAAATGCGTACTACTTGAAAAACTTCAGAACATACACCCCAACAGTTGAAACGTTTCAAATTTCTTTGCTTACACCTAATATACTGCCGTTGTAACTTAAGCGATATTGTTGTATGGTTGTGATGTGTGCTCACACACATATTAGCATATTTTCTTGCTCTGCGTATGTAACTCTAATAAAAACGCAGTCACTTCGCTATCAAATTCAGTTTTCGGCATCACTCAATGCTTCGATGGCTACTTTTACAACATAGTTATTTCATCGGGGTATTAAGTTGAGGTGGGTTATCCGCATGCACATTTTATCGTACTAATAGAAAATTGCAGCTTTTTATTTTTTCTCGTGCTTATCTGTATATGCTTTTGTTGCACGGCACGTTTTTTGCTAAAAAGTGTATCAAGCGCACACCTTAGTTCGCTTAGCAAGCATTGTTCCTTAATGCCTTGTGGTGATTTCTCATTTAAAAAAAAAACAGAGTAAATCTTAAAAATCATCTCCACACGTGCACTTCATGCATGTATGTGCTTTTATCACCTATGTCGTACAATTATTCACATCAAGCTGTTTGTCTTTCTTCACACTCTCTTTTTTTATTCACGTATGAGCTTTTTTGCCGACGTCTTATTCCCCACTATCAAAGGGTACATTAATAGCAATGCCTTATTCTTGGCAGTGCTGTGTTGCCTTGTTCCGGTGCATTCATAGAACTGCCAAAATTGTTATGAATAGCAACGATATGCGTTTTCTAGAAGTGTTTTCTTCTCACTGATTTTCTATCAAGGATTGGGGGGGGGGGGGTGAAATGAAAAAAAAAAACACCCTTCACGCAAAAGAACTGTAGTTTGCCATAAATATTCATGAGTCTGCCATTACGGCGTGTCTCATAAGCAACTTTCCCAGTATTCGGGACGTCTGTACAAGGCGCCTTCTCTCGGCGGCAACAATGGTGCACTGTCAAACCTGAAGGGTAAGTAGGTGGAGAAAAGTCATATCTAGGGAGATAAAAAATCTTATTATTGTGAACGACTCTCGGTTATTTGGAGCTCAGAGCCTCAGGAGCATTCTGGTAAATTGCAGTATTGGAGTGAGAGCATAGTGGTATTCCATAACAATTTAACACCGCCCAACGAAAGCATCTCAAGTCTCATCGTAAGAGAATAAACGCTCTAGGAAGCCACGTGATTCGCAGTGAGACGCTGTGACTTCGCTAGATTGTTTCAGTGGGACTCAGCTACCTACAACCAGGATTCGGGGTTCATTTTTGTAACTAGCTTTTTCTGTCACACATTATTTTTTTTTGTCTATTTCCTACTCATGGCCAAGCACTGCTGTCGCCGACAACAGACGGCGCTAAAAGATGATGTCCCTTGGAGTTACTGTATATGCTACCTTTAGGTAGCAGAGTTGCGCCACCGTTTTCTTGGCACCACTCACTCCGCCTACAGAAGTTCAGCGCCCCTATTCGCCGAGCGCCATCACGTGGTCATAGATGGTTTACTTGCACTGCGGAGAAGCCAACGCTACGCAGATTCCGGCCAGATAAGCGGGGTTGAAAACGGCTGCTGTCATTCTCGCCGTGCTTCTTCGGTAATGTAGCCATGCTGCCTGTTGTTCACGAGAAATGCGGCATCAAATGCATTCTGTGTTGAATTGTACTACGTAGAGCCCATGCGATTAGACGCGGGGGCAGCGGGTGTTGCTATAGAAAGATTAGTGTTCAGTCGGAAGGAATAAACACTTGGCCTTTGTCGTCGGCAGGAATTCCTTTCGGGCGTAAAAACCATTGTTATATTGCGGCTTGGGGAGAGCGAGAGCACTGGTTTAGCTTGGGTAAGGGCAAGTGCTGTTGTGGCTTGAGGGGGGCAAGGGCCTTTTTTCCACTTCTCTGCTGACGCCCATGCGCTTGGCTTTTTTTTTTAATCTGTCCATGGCACTGTAAAACTTGTTCCATTTGTATTAAACACAGATGCAGTAGTGAATATGTAATACATGCAGAGTTCAGCAGTGTGTGTCAGCTGCATACGTCCAAATTAGTCTGGCAGTAAAAAGGCTAAATATAAAGAGATAATTTAAAATAGAGCTATTTGAATCGGCAAGGTGTTGCTTCTAGTGCGTGAATTGAATGCTGCTTTGAAACCTTAAGCGAAAAGAATGTTGGACACGACAGGGTTGTTGAACGATGATTCACACCAATTGTCGTGAGCAGCGATTGTAACATGATCGTCATAAGAGATGCGCGCTTAACGCTGGCATCGCACGGCCACTCTCAATCGCTATCCAGCTCGATTCAGTTGAAGACTACAAATCTTTAGCTGGTTAACTCACACAGTTAACGAATGAGCTCAACGCGATGAAAATATTCCATCCCTGGATTGATAGCGATCAAGAGTGAAAAATACTTTCATGTAAATGGGAAAAACGGTGCAAACTAAGTTGAAGCTAATGTGTGGCCTACTATTATTGTACTTATGTACATCTGGTTCAATGAGCTGACGCACGTTTTTTCATTATTACTTACCAAAAACGTAAGCATAAAATCAAGACTTCCAGGCGTGACCATAGCAACTGAGTTTGTCTTGTACCTTCATTAAGAAAAATTAAGACAACGCTATGAGCGCGAGCGCTGCTCCTACGAGGGTGGTGAGTGGCTTTCCCGCAAGACATTTGAACCCAAGATGGCGTACTTTGGCGCAACTCTGCTACCTAATAGTAGCATATACAGTAACTCTAATGTCCCCATAACCTCCCTGTCCTTCCTCATTTATTCCTCCTCCTCCTAATGTCCCCAAATCCTGGGCTCGTCAAGTTTTGGGCGCAAGAAACGATGCTTTTTCTTTCATTAATTTCGCAGAGTTTCGAATTCTTTAGTCTTCACTGTAAGTTACATGAAGATTCTGTTCACCTTAGGGCAAGAAACACCCGTACACTACCACGTGTGAATTCTAGGGGCACAAGAATTTCAGACGGTTAAAGTTAGGCAGAAAATTATTCACTCATTCCGATGTTTAAAACGCACTAATATATCGATGCACAAATTCATAACATTATAGGTTGATTTCGTTCGAGAATTCTACCCGTCAGTAGCCAAATGTAGGTGATCCAATTTTAAAATGCCCGATGCCGGACGGAGCATCGACACTTCATCCGGGCAAAAAAATGACGCAATTCTTGACTATTCTGCCACCCAGCATCAGCCCTTCTTGAAGCGAATACGGTTATGAATTCATCATCACCCATTTTGGCAGCGTTGTCAGCCGCCAGCCACCAACGCCGGTGCCAAGCGGGATGCGAACCTGGCACTTGACTATCCTACCTCCTAGTCACACCAGTGCTTCAAGCCCTTTGCAGAAAAAGCCTATAAAAGCTTCACTCCGGCAAGAAATTCTGTCAGCAGATTCATTTTATAAAGAGATACAAGAGTGAAACAATAACCAATCGAATTACGTAACGACCAGCCGTGTTAAAGCTTCCTACCATTACAAAGGGCTCAGAGAAATTTCATCATCATCAGCCGCAGTAGCTATAAAGTACGCGCAGTGCTTGCTGATGTGCGCTTCTAGTGGCTACTTCGCTTCTTCACAGAAAGATGAATTATGGCGTAGTGTGTTTCTCTCTACCATAGGTCGGCGTACTCACTGATGAGTTGACTCACTCGGACTTTCTGAGACAGATCGAGCCGTCTATCTGAGTGAGTGCGTATGAGCAATGTTTTGGTGAGTTTGAGTGTCAGTAAGTTCCTTCGGAGAAAATGTTCGTGAGCTTGAGTTCAAAGCAGTCCAAAAGGTAAAATATATTTCATGAGTGAGTGTGAGCTCCACAAGTTTTTCTGACCTATGCTCTCTACTTCGCAAAATTGTGACACTTTCTGCCGTAGTGGACGCCTTGTAACTGCACGTGCCGTGTCCGGCACAACAGAGTTTACAGACTCTAAAAAGGCTTCTTTTTCAGCTTTCGTTGTTACAGCGCTACGTTCTCCCCGCTGACGAGGTCATTCTTGCGGCACTTTAAGAATTCGCAGTTTAAAACCACTGTGCGCACGCTTGATAGAAGTTTGAAGGTGCCGCACAATAAATACACAACTAACTGGTCATATTTTAGCACCCTGGTTTGATCACATGTTTGGACCAAAGAAGTACAATAAGGAAGACAGGTTCGCATCTGGAATTAAGGTGTAGGGCATGGAGGTCAACAATTAAAGCATCTGCTCAGTTACTTCACGCTGCAAGATCCGTAAAGAGGATTATAAAGATGAGAGAGAAAGAAAGAGAGCGAGAGAGAGAGAATGGAAGCAAAAAGGGGAAAGAATGCAATGAGTTTACTAACATGTGCGGGATGCCGACCCCAAAGGTAGAATATGTCTCAATCACTGGTCCTTCATCCTCAGAAAGCACAACAGTGACTTCCAAATACATATTGAAGGAACCTGGCCTTCTTGGCATTCCCTTATTCGCACACATTCACACACATATAAATTCAAGATCACACCCACAACAGCACTCACTAGCGTCTGCTTATTGTGCGTGACGAAACCTAGATGGTGATGATGATGATTAAAACTTTAGGTTCAGAGAAGACGCCGGGGAGGCACCGCGCCATCAGGCTAATTCCACGCAGAGACCACCAAGCCGAGCTGGGTGGTCCGTTCACAGGCACTCTGGACGGCCAGGGTATGATAGTTAAGTTCTGGGCGGCGCAAGAACACTGCCCACCTGTTCCCGCTGTAGGCGGAGCCAGTAAATGATGACGTGGAAACGCAATGAGCCAACAAAGTTTAATATGTGCATTGGCCCCAGTGAGGCGACTTTCTAGAGAAAACAAACGACAGGAAGGTCGATACGGACTAAAATCAGGCAATGAGACAGCTTCACTACTAGAAGGAAAAATGCCGAATATGCACTCAAGCAGCGATTAATAATGGGCCATTGCGAGCGTCACGTTTGCCGCAAAGCGTGTGCAAAACAATCACAATGAACTTGATGACGCGTACAACATGTCTATTTCACGCTTTACAGTTCTTTACTTGTTTAACTCTCTTCTCATTTCTTTCCGTAGGTCTCATATCTGGAGCCCTGATACAGGCCTTCGGAACTTGCAAGACATCGGTCATTGGAAGCACTCTTACCATACTCGGACTCTCCATATCGGTCTTTGCCACCGGACCAATCTTCCTTGCTTTTTCGGCGGGCTTCCTGTTCGGTTAGTGATCTCGCTTGCATGGAAGAAACTGAAACACACATCAAGCTGCAGCCACCTTGATAAGCAGCGTCCGATAGGCCATTTAGCAGGCATACAATTTTTGGTCATAATTCGGAGTTGAGTGAGATCTACCACAGCAAGTTGTCTTCAGATGGCCTTCATTGACTAGGTTCTCTGCTACCTTCCTGCTCGCCCTTCCTCCTTAATATCCTTCCTTTCTTCGTTGATTGATTAGTGTTTCTATAAGCAACAATGGCCCACCTAATAGCGCGCACAATTGATTACATAGCAAGGCACTACGTGGCGATATGATTCTTCAGATACTCACACTAACAATAACAGCTTATTAATCTTAGTAAGCTTAATAAAAGAACGAATAAATGTCGAGATAGATCAAAAATGAAGGAAAGACGTTGCATGTGCCAAACAAACATAAATATTAAAAGTGCATTACCGCACAAATAGTCATCTGTAAGTGTCAATGTCAATTAATGTAATAATAAATACAATAATTATAAATAGTGCCTGCTTCAATCGCATTTTCATACTCATTAGAAGGTCGACGCGTAGTAACCCTTTCACTCACCCAAATTTTTCACAATAACTTCACTAGAAAGTTACAACGCAGCTACCACGATTATCGTCGCAATTTCTGTCTTTTATTTATTATTGTGATGTGTTTTTTTTTTCTTCTTCATTGGAGGATACTCTTAATGCTTGTTTACATCCACTGCAGAAAACTGCATGGTATGCACCGACTAGATATTGTGCATTTAGTTGCGGACTTTGTAAAACAAAATGAAAAAGGAACTATCTCACGTATAGAAGCTTTGCGTCTTACTGAAGTTGGTGAGAACAGTAGTCGAGGACTTGTACTGGGTAAAAATATCTTTAGGCTTGATGTACAAAACACAGGAGAAACATATAGTAGAATATAAAAACAATATAGAATGGTGAGGCGATGAAAGACACATAAACGCTTTCTTGCACCTAAATCCGGCACAACTTAATAATCCTGTATAGACTTCACATGCCTTGCTCCCGCCCCCCTTCCCCACAAGACCGAAGTGCGGAAGTGGATTGCCCCTGCTACTAAAAAAACAGCCCTCTTCATCAAATGGCTCCACACCGGCCGTCTAGCCAGTGGCGTCACTGTGGAGTGCCTGCAAACGTTGGTGTAGGCTTGTGTGTTGAAGAAAAAACTAGACTTCTAAAGTTATAACTGAGCGCAGTTAGAAATGGAACGTTCGTCAGAGCTTGTATAAAAATTGCCAGATTTCGCTGTCATTATTGAAACTGAAGTGATGATATTGTGTTAACACTTTACGTGCACTGTAGTCTCACTTGTCATTGCACACTGGAATATTTTCGAAAACTGGTATTTGCTAAAGCTTACTTTTTGTGTTCACAGTCTACAATAAATTAGCACTATGCTGCTATCAAAGTGGTGTTTTGGGTATGTTTTAAGACAAGAAGGCAGTGTCCATCACTAAAAATAAAGTACTCAGGCGAGCCAGCTCGATCAATGGAACTTGTTTGTTAAGCATCACACGTGTAGTTTTATTACATACCTCTTATCTCCATCGCACCTGAAATTAAAATGCTGGCATTTCGACATTGAAATTCACCTCTCATGACTCCATTGCTGGCATACCGTAACTTGGGCAATACGTTTCGGCCTAAACTGGGGTTTACTTTAAATGCTGTATAGGATAGGTTATCTCATCTTTCTTTAATTTCGGTTGCGCTGTCCCAATTCTTCAGACGTAAAATTATGTCGTGATCTTTTCCATTTCAGGTACTGGCCAGGGCCTCATTCTCAACAGCATCGTAGTCTGTGTGAGCCAGTATTTCGAGAAACGGCGAGGGACAGCGCTGGGCCTAAACATGGCCGGAGCAACCGTAGCTTCGCTTGTGTTTCCCAACTTGTACGAGTTTCTGATCGCCGAGTACGGCCTTCGCGGCACACTCCTAATGATGGGCGGCTCGCTGGGCAACGTCTTGGCCCTTTCCATGCTTGTAAATCCACCTTCATGGGAGAAGGAGGCGCGGAACAGCGGCGCCACCAATCTGAAAACGAACGGAACTTCTAGCGTTCCGTACTACACTCCCACAACCGGGCGAGCGTCAGTCATGTGTGGTCATGCAGACGAAGACAAGGACAAACTCTATCTCGAAATTGAACCGCCGCGTCTGTCATCACCGCAAGCCAGGAAAGCCACTCTGGTTAGCGTCTCGAATCGTGGAGCCAGCACTTGTAGGCGTGGAACCATCATCAGCGTCGGCGACCAAACGAGCGTCGTTGGGCATCGCAGGGGAACCATTATAAGCCTCGTCGATAACGTGAAGACGTCCCGGCGCGGCACCCTCATATCCGACCATCCTTGTGCCCTGTCATCGTCCCGGCGGGGAACAATCACAAGCAGCGTGGGAGACGGCGGAGGATTGGTCTCCATGGCTCCAGATTTGAATGAAATCCGTGCCCGCAGAGGTACCATGATGAGCGTAGCGGGCTCGATGTTCGCGAGCAATAAAATCGCGCGAGGCTCCGCTTCGGTCGATGTGATGTCAGCACGCAGAGGCACCTTGGTGAGCCTGAACAATTCATGCCGCCTAGATTGCTCGTCCCTGCGAGACGACGCGCTCAGAATTGAGCTTCCCGCAGTTCCAGAAGAGGCATCCAGTTCCCATCAGTGCTCCAAAACATTCTAGAGGTGCTAAAGTCCCCGCGTTTTATTTTCACGCATTTAGTTACGCTGCGTTGCCCTTTTTTCTCGATTCAGTACTTGACTGTGATGTTCGACTTCGCCGAAGACATCGGGGTGCCCCCTTCTGACTCTGTACACGCACTCACGATGTTCTCAGCCACGGATACAGTGGGACGATTGTTCGTCCCTTTTATAAGCGACTACGGCCTCATCTCCAACTGCGGTCTGCTCACCATCGCATATTTCTCTCTGGGACTACTGCAGCAACTCACGCCTCACATACACGGAAAAGCAGCGTTCTGGGGGATGTCAGTGGTCATGGGCCTCCCGACCGGTTACATCATGGTAGGGAGCCCCAGAAATTCTGTCTACCGAGATTGGCACGAAGAACCTGCCGATTGCTTACGGATTTATGACGACACTCACGGCTATTGCAGGCTTCGCTAGACCACCTGTTATCGGTAAGCATGAGTAAGTTTTTATTTAGTCTCAAGCTTGAACGTGGTGCTTAATCTGCCTGCAAAACGACTACAGATAAAAATTATACAAACACAGGTGTTATGTGAGGGATGTCGAACTTTCTTATTTCTCTTTCTGAGCTGCTATGCCTGCTTTGTAACGGTAGTTACCAAAAGCGTTCCCACAATTTTTTTTTCGTGGAGGGGGGGGGGGGGGGCTAGCTACAACTTATGTAGGTCCATGCATGCGTTTATATCTGTGCGTGTATATACTATATACGCAAACAAAGTTGAAAATTTTCTGGTGGGGAAATTATAAGCGCCTCATCTCTTGGCTAAGCCCATGTTATTCAACCAGATTCAATACCGAACAGGCAGCCCTTAGCCAACGGCCATACCATGCTAAATGCACCGGTTCTACAATAGGCGACCCTTACGCTTTGGTTACTTTAGCTTCCCAGCCGTTCTTGCGAACAGTGCTGTATTGCTCAAATGAAAATAATCCTGCTGATACTAATGCCGAATTCTGTGCACTTCAAGTTCCTCTAAAATTGACAGGAATGTTTAGGCTGAGGGTGTTTTTCATTATCGTGAGGGCGGTGCGGTGTCATCGGTGGCACTCGACCTAAACATCATGAGGCCAGCTGAAACATCTGAAGCCTTGCACGCCTATGTGCAGCCTTCATCATTCCTAATATTTCATTCCTCAATATATTTTGAATTTTGTTTCCAAAATTATATGAGCCCAACTTTAACGAGACTGACACTGGCATATGATGACCAAACCTTGGGCTTGCAGAATAACGGGCAGGTGGGCTAGTTGTTTAGGGCTCATCGTGAATTGTATGGGGCAGAGTTAGGGCGAATACATGAATGAGAACAGACAAAAGTGCTGCACTCACAACAGTGCAGCACTTAGGTCTTTTCTCGTTCATGTATTCGCCCTAACGCTGCCCCGTACATCTCACTCATAACTCTTCGGCACCAACACTATCCTTTAAGCTTACGTCGCCCTTTACCCTTCCGCCCCTGTTTCACGAACAATTTCACCATTGTTCACTCTATCGGAAGCTGCATGACTGAGCCCGCCATTAAAGTGGGCCTAAAGGGAGAAGTGCCCTTCTTGTAGCGAGTTTTTCGAATGCAGAAAAGAACGTTGCGTGATAGCTGCCGATTGCCATTCGCTGAATTTAGTGTGTCCGCGAAAGCTTCCTAATCTTTCATTGAGCTTTTTTTTTTTTTGGGAACCTCGTACTGCAGAACTTATTATATTGTCTCGAAAATCGAATAACTGAACTTTGTGCAAGCTGAATTCGGTTTACCTAGTAAAAAATAAACCTCACTAAATATTGAGGCTATATTGTTTTGAAGTGTTTTGAAGAAAAAAGCATTTTCATATTCATATATAGCAATGCCTCCTATAGCGTTTCCAAAGACGCATTTTCGACAGTACATTCGTATACTGAATTTATGAGCAATATATTTAAACAATAAGCATACTTGTGTGCTGTAATCAAGTAATTCAAAGACACTAGCAGCAACGCATGTTCTTTTATAAGCTCTCAATAACGGTAACATAAAAGCTACCTAAAAATCCACAGCAAAGCAAACTTGTAGTTTCGTGTTAGGATTCCCGCATCAAAATCTGACTGACTGTTTCTTGACAACACCTTACCTCAGGCAAAACCATTGTAATGTCACCATGCCACGCAGCTTGTACTGTTTTGCCTGCGAAAGCGCGCTAGTAAGTGCGGTCTTCCTCAATCGGCTAAATGGGGGCAAGGAAACTGGTTTGCCTTACCGTCTACCTTTCTTTGTTACTCTCATTGATTGTTATGTTTTAGATCTTTCGATGCCCACCGTAAGCGAAACGGCTCTTATTTGTTGTGAACGGGGCGTGAAGGTACTCTGCGCCTTTGGCATGGTGCCTGTTGACATATTCTCCAGCGCCGAAACCTCAAGTCATGCGTTGGTACCCTGGCAACAATGATATGTAGCAACGTGAACTGGCCAATAACTTCAATAAAAGATCAGATTGGTGCACCAGAAACGGCTTATCACCGAAAAGCCCACTGTCAAGGCATAGTAGGGTGTTCGAAAATGACCCAGATCTAGGGCTGCATCTCGGTAGCTGGTCGCCACAGGCTTTCTCGCGTACGGCCACGCCACCAGCGAGATCTGTAATTCGTATCAAGCTTCGTTTGAAAAGGTTTCGTTTGAATAATTTGGGCTGAATGATAGCTCTAAAGTACAAGCACCGCAGTTTTGCTATAACACTTGCAAGGTCGTGCAACGTGTGGGTAGATGCACTTGGCGCAGTGGCACACTGTGTGACAGCAGCCTGTTAAATGCTCTCAGCTTTGTACTGATGACTCTGTGCCTACCGCAGGTTTCTTCAGGGACAACTACGGCAGCTACGATGGTCTGTTTCGGCTACTTGGCGGCATGCTTACGCTCTCTTTTCTGTTCACGGCTGGCTTATGGGTCACCGGACGCTCGAAACTCAGGAAGAAAAAGGCGACCGCCTCTGCAACGGAGGCCTTCGTCTTCGTACCGGAGGCGATGCCGACGCTCAAAGAAGAAGAAGTGGATTCCTAAACAAGCTGTGTAGTGTAAGACACTTACCTGGAAGAAAGGGAAAAAACAAGCACAAAAGTGCAGCTGCAAGTGGCGGTTTTGAAGGGTCGTTGTAAATAGCATAGAGGAAGGCAAGAGAGGCAATCCGCAGGGAGAGCCAGATGGTAACTCTTACCTGATGAACGTGCGCGGAGTGATGTGTTCAGGGTGGGCGAAGGCTGAACGTGCAGAAGACGTGATCTAGCGACATTTAATGAATTGTGCAAAAGACGTGATTTAGCTACCATTGAATGAACGGTGAACTACTGCGTTCCTTTCTATTCAAAGCTAATGCACTGATCAGCTTGCGTGAAAAAAAAATGAAAAAGCTAACCAGTGGCTCGTATGAGTGAGATATTTGTGGACTACATTCGTTTTTGTATTCAACATTTCTCCAGGAAAACATAATCAGTTTCGAGCACATGGGAAGCTTCGAAGTTGCAACGCCAATGCAAGAATTTACGAATTCTCCGTTATACTATAGGCTCGTTTGGAGCTTTGCAAAAAGAAGCCACATACAACATATTGATGAAACTTTGGTGTACAGGTGTATAAACTTTACACGGTAAATGGAAGCACTAACTATTTTTTGAGGCCACTTCTAGCACAAACGGATTCACGCGAACGAATGTTCTTATGGTGTGACGTACGCTAAATATTGTGTGGGAAATAACAGTAACACATGAAAAGCTTCCCTCACCTCTTCTCTATTTACACTGCTACACAATTTCTCACATCACACCATGTTGCTTCCTGAATTATTTCGGGATGACATGGCGGTTAACAACATTTGTCAATGCAAGCGTCAAACAGAGGGTGCATATGTCGACATAGAATGCCATCGCCCCCAATCGTCATTCCTTTTACGGCAATGGTAATAGTTGGCTTGAGTGCAGGCAAACGCCTGCTGTGCTTATTCGGGGAAATAATTAATACTGCCAGTTAGCCTCTTACGCCAGAGCCATGATGCAGAATAACGCAATTATCAAGCCCCTGTTGGACCTTCGTGGCCAACGTTATCTCTGTCGTTTCGGGGGCAATTGTCAATTGTTGCCGATGACTTTATTAGTGTTGCGCCCTCGTCGTTTCAGTTGATTTTTCAAAAGGGTCTTTTGGGGGAGATCGCTTAAGTGTGTAAGGGTGGGAATTAGTAACAATAGCAGTAAAAAAGAGCACAAACTTTACACCTCTCTGTGTTCGTCATTCTGTCTCAGTTGACGTAAAAACTAGACTGGCTGGGGATGCCAGTGACTTTAGAAGGTGTCGCAATCGAATACGTCCCAGCCGGAATGAATGTGAATTTATTCTTTAGTTTCTGGCAATTAACTTGACGCTTATCGATTGCCGAAGACATCTCTTTTTTTTGCAATTATTACTTAGCAACGCATCCCGTCAGAATTTAACAAAATACCGTCAGTGGCTACACCAAAAATAATGTTTTTCCAGGTAAAACAAACCGAGAACTATTGGTGATACGAAAAATCACAGCCTATTCACGAAGTGAATGATGACGAGTGGGCGAAGCTCTGGGGGATCATGAACCGTGAATTCCCCCGTACATTGCCGGCGCTGCCGTTTCACTGCAGCTGCGCGAGCACTCGCCGCCTCTAGATCAGCTTGCAGACGTTTTCGTGCCGCTGCAGCTTCGCGAGCCCGCAAGTCTCGATCCTCTTGTTTGCGCTGCCGCTCTGCGAGCCCAAAACTCTGTGGACTGCGTTGCCGCGCAACTGCGCTACGCACTCCAAGACCGCCACTGTCGAAACAGAGAGAGAGAGAGAGAAAGCCGACCCACTAGCAGTCTCCTTTCAAACAGCAGCACGCGCCAAGAGCGAGCACTGGCACCACCCCACCCTTTACCGGGCGCTTCCAGTACTTGCGTGTCACGCCGACAGACAAGGCACATAGCTTGACCCTAAGGAGCTTCACCCGTAAAAATAGAGCTGGAGCTCTAAACCCATGAAAGAGCTGCTGGCTGAAGACAACACATCGAATCTTTAGTTAATATTGAAACAGCCTTGAAGTATGGCTCGACAGTGTCTTTGCAGTTTATGCTTATAAGTATAAGCAATATTTCCACAAAGCGGCATCGGGTTACTTCTAATGACATGTAAGGCCGCGCAAGCTGGCCGCTTTAGATGCCACACCACTTGGCAGCAAAAAAAAATTTCTTAAAGTTTCTCAGGACGTGTGTAAAAGATGAAGCAAAAATAGTAAGCCTACATGGAAACAACCCAGCGCATAAAACCACAAACATGGAAAAGTTAAACATGCATACACGAGCAAGCACAAGTATATTTCGTGTGCAAGTTCAAGCGTACACACATACTCAATTAGACACAGGTGCTTTTTGAAATGATCCAGTGTACGGGCGAAAGTGCGTTACATTACCGAGCTTAGGCGATAGAAGTACACATACACGAGTAATATTGTGCTTGCTCAAATATATAAACTATGACTTTTATACCAAACCTTGGAAGTTAAGCATACACAGATGTCTCATCTACCTGGACCAGAAGCACTGGCTGAATCATAATAAATGAAAAACACGCAGTTTGTCAGCTGTGACAATAAAACACATGATTCAATAAAGGAAGGTCGCATCTCTTAAGCTACCGACACATATGTTACCACACCGATGGTTGAGTCTGTCTACTTTTTTTCGCACGATAGATACGCGTGACCACGTCGGACTAAAAAAACAGCTCGATGTAATTCATCAATGTCTGTATCATAATCTGTCGGGGCTACCTCTTCCAACATTTATTTGTTCTATTCACTGATTCATGGGTAAGCTTCACTTACTCTGACTTCTCTTAATATGCATGCGTTTTATACATATATATGGTGATGAGCATATCTCATTTCGTGCAACCTTTCTATTATGATTCTCTGTGCTGGTTAGGTGCTGTGAAAATTCTGGTTTTGTGCTGCTGGTGCGCTGTTCTGTCTATATGTGATGCCAGCCAGCTACTGCCGTCCTCGCTGAGTGAGCATTAGGCCACTGTGGCGTAACTAACGTTCTTTTTATTCGTTCAATTCTCTCGGTTATTTCTTAGCCAAATCAGAAAAGAAAACCTAATAAACTTCACATTGACGCTGTTACCCATGGGCCTTAGCAGTTACAGAACCCATGTCACCTAGAGCATCACACGACCCTCACTTTCCTGCCAGGGCAGGATCTGAGCTTACGCGACCACTTCCGCGTGTCTGGTCGAGAATCACTGAACGCATGCCAGGATGACTACGCTGCAATGAAACGGCTGGCTTGATAATCCTTCAAACGAAGAAACCTTGCCACAGCAGAATACACTAGTTGGTAGCATGAAAAATTCGAGTTATAATACTTCTTTCTAGGCGGATTTCTTATTGCTACTGTGTACACTTCGCCTTAAGAATATTTTAATAACGTATTGCTGCATTTCGTGGTTTCTGCAAAGATTCCTCTGACGGTTGCCATGATTGTAGGTATGCATGTATCCATGCACGTATGTATGTATGTGTGTGTGTGTCAGTATGTGTATGTATGTATGAGGCTCAACAAATTGATTTATTAAAGAAAATCTTCCGGTTGTGAAAAGTGAACTGCGACTGCCAGTTACTGGAGTGTAATACACCCCAATTCCCTTTTGAGCAAAATAATAATAAAGACGGTCATCGACTTACATGCTGCGATCAAGCCAAGCGCACGATTAATCTATATCAAGTCCATAACAAAAATATCCAGTTACTTTAGAGTGAAATTTTTACATGGTTTCTGCAGTCATTTTAAATACATCTTCTATACAATGTCGAAAATGAAAAAATATTAATACTCACAAGATGGTTTCTCTTTTTTTCACTGAGACAACGAAAATTCAGTGTCTTTAAACCTCTCATGTTTGCTTAGCACAAAATCCCATATCCCTGTCATTTCTAACATATAGTGAACAGGTATTATCCACCCATTACGAAATGCCTTTGTCACGCTTTCAAAGTAAACAAAAGAAATAAAATATACTGAAGGCTCACATAGTACCATGTGGAAAAGGCCCACCGACGAACTAGGCCATTCAAGACCAGGGTTAGTTTTTGAACTGGAGCAAATATCAAAATGGTTTTGTTTCAGCAACCCTGCTCCACGTAACTTGCTTTTTTTCACCAATGCAGTAAATATGTATGCGTTTTGAAACGCTTGTAGTTTTTGCAAACAAAGTAAAAGCACACAGTCACGAACAGCGCTGCCTTAAATGTCACTTCATCGAGACTCAAGCATGTATGACAAGGTTACGTATGTCGTTAACTCTGGTCATGGTTCATTTAAAAGTATTGCTTGCAGAAAGGTATGCGGAATAAACTTCGTATGGTTATTCTGAGCATGAAACAGTTTTTAAAGGTAGTATTGCAGGGACGAGATGTACGTACATGAAACCACTATATCGCTCGGCATTTTTCCTTTCATGTGGCTATGGTGTGTGTTTCCGTTTCTACTAAAGTACTGCGAAGATATTGAAGGCTCGCCGAGAATTCCATGTGTGCAGAATAGTCACTATAGTCAGCAGGATTCAAATCGCATTATCCATACGTTTGTCCTTATCGGCATTCTCTGGGTTAAACTTGACCTTGTCTTGTAGCTGCTGTCGACCTCATGTATACTTTGCGCATTATACTCCTCATGTTTCAACCGTATTATCATGAACTGACTTGCAATGAGCCCTCTAAGATTCCCAAATAGGTCGACGAATCAGAATTAAGGTGGCATTTCGTATAACATCATCCATGACAGCGGAATGTCGAGTTGTGATAGAGTACAACGGTAAGAACTCGGCACAAAATATTTGCAGTGAATAGCTGTCAAACGTGTAAAGTACCATTTTCTGTTGGCCAACTTAAAGTGCTTAGTCTTTCCCGACCTTCTTTTCAAAGCCGTAATGCTATGAACCAACCACCCCAGTGTGCTTTAAGAATACATCGGCTACCATATCGCCGGGTATGTACAATGAAGACGTTCTATTGCCCCCATTAAAAAACCGATACTCCAAATGCGCACCTTTTCTCAGAAAATTCAGTAGATCTGACGTAGCTTGGAAATTGATGTTACGCGAAACATGCGGCAGGAAGGCGACCATGTTGTAATTCTTTAGTTATCGGCAATGATTGCATAATTAAATGCCCGCTTTCGAGCTTTTCTGTAAGCATACTGTACACTGTTTTTAGTGGACTATGTTTTGGACGTATCTGAAATGTACTTACCCACTCTTATTTTTTTCCTGCCCACACTAACGGTGCAAAGAGATTGGCATATATGTATAAAGAATGTGAAATAAAGTAGTTGACCTTGTCTTGGTTAATTTGTGGGCTTCATTTTTTGTTAGCGGGCTTTTGTTGAGTTTAAATCTGGTTCAGTTTCAAAGATTACGTGATAATCGTAATATTTCCTGTTTCTTTCACACACGAAAACCACTGGAGTTGAAAAATACTGATGACATTGTAATATAATTTGTTATATATGTACATGCTGTTTCGGAAATTTCAATGACGAGGTAGCGCTGCAACGTGAGCACCACTCCCCTCCAGAACAAAATTCCTAGCTGGGCCACTGGTGCGAGCCCACTCGTAATGTGGCCTTTTCCCGCACCCCACTCACCACTCGCAAGACGCCGCATTTAGGGTTGGAGCTCCTTATGGTATAGCCATGTCCACTGTCCATCGGCGTGACACGCTATGGATAAACGCATCTCAGTATAGATGACCATGTGTATATTCACATAGACATCTCTAATATTCTAACCTCCCTGTCCTTCCTCTTTCAATCCTCCTCCCATATATATATATATATATATATATATATATATATATATATATATATATATATATATATATTGTGAAGAAGAAAACGCATCGTTGGCAAACAACATCGCCACCGCTTGGGTACTGGGTGCTTGGCTTCGCTCGCTCGGCTCGTGCTGATCATCGCCGGCATCTGCTCGACCGATCGTGTCGCCGGCATCTGTTGTCCGATCGTGTTTCATCGTAGGACCACCGTCGCAACAGTCGCCAATAAACCCTTTTTCAATTGGTGGAGGGTGCTGACATTCCCCGTCGCCTGAACCTGGGTGCTGCCATTCGCCGTCGCCTCAACCTGGAGCTGCGCAACCGAACGCTACCTACCATCATGGCTACCAACAACGCGCAACCTGGCTCTTCCACTCCATCTCCCAGCAACCCCGGCGTTCTTCGTTTGCGAGAGCCCAAAGTCTTTAGCGGAGCTGATGAGACTGACGTGGAAGACTGGTTCGCTAACTACGAACTGGTAAGCGCAAACAACAAGTGGGATGACGCGGACAAATTGACTTACGTCATCTTTTACCTCACTGACGTAGCCGAAATGTGGTATAACAACCACAAAAACGATATTACGACGTGGTCCATCTTCAAAACGTTGTTCGCTGACGTTTTTGGCCGACCCGCTGTCCGCAATTCCAGAGCCGAACAACGCTTGCGGACTCGCGCACAAAAACCAACGGAATCTTTCACAAGCTACATTGAAGACATCATTGGACTTTGCAACCGACTGAAAACCACCATGCCCGAGTCGGAGAAGATTCAACACATCCTCAAAGGGATAAATGACGGTGCATATCAGCTGCTCCTCGCCCGTAATCCTGCCACCGTTGCGGAACTTGTTACTTTGTGTCAAAGTTTCGACGAGTTGAGCAAGCAGCGCGCCCTGACTCGGCCATTTTCCTCACACGCCGACTCGCTCTCCAGTCTCACTTCCGTTCCCGACCACGCACCAACCCTGCAAGAGATTAAAGACTTCGTGCGTGAAGAAGTAGCTCGGCAACTGTCGTTGATTCCCTTCACGCAGCAGCCGCCGTCCCCTCGTCTGCTCTCACCACTCCGCGACGTTATTGCCGAAGAGGTAGCTCAGGCTGTTCCCGTCGCTGCCCACCAGCAGCCTGTGGCCGTGACTGTTCCCCATGCGCCGGCTATGCAGCCCGTGGCCGCGCCTCTTACTTATGCCCAGGTGGTACGCAGCAGACCCCGCCAGCAGCTTTTGCCACCCATGCCTGCAGTTGCTCCCCACTCTACCCCTCTTTCGACACCTTGGGCTGCACCGCGAGTCAGCAATTCCTGGCGCACTGCTGACAATCGACCAATCTGCTACGCCTGCGGTACTCCAGGACACGTGGCACGATATTGTCGTCGTCGTTTCCAATCGCAACACAACGCTACTTGGCCGTTACCGTATGACCCGCCGCCCACGCACCTACCTGCTCCCTATCCTTCACCGCAGTATGGCTACACTAATCTTCCCGGGTCTCAGTCACCCCAGCGCCCAGCTCCGACTCACTCTTCCCGCTCGCCGTCTCCTCGCAGGCGATCTCTGTCCCCAATGCGTCCCCGACCCGCTTCTTCCAACCGGGAAAACTGAACGCCGCAGTTCCAGAGGCAAGAACTGCGCCGTCATCGAAATGCCCAAGTCCTCGCACTTCACCTGCTAACGTCGTCGCCATATCTGTCGATGGTGTTTCTACATTTGCCCTCATCGACACAGGTGCTGCCGTTTCTGTTATAGCCGCCCAGCTCTGCCGCTCCCTACGCAAAGT